GAATTTTAAAAAAAGAAAAAGTGTTGCCATATACGCTTATTAAAAACTTTTGTAAACTTAGAACAATAATAAGAATAAATTATAGAAATTTAAAATCCAAGGAAGCTGAAAATTTGAAGCGAAAAAACTTATCCGTGTTGGATTCAACTAGGTCAAAAATTAGAAAATTAAATAAAATTGTTCGGTAGGGAATGTTTCTAAAGTTTCCTAGTCTTGTATACTGTTTAGTTTTACCTATTTATGTTTATGAAATAAATAGTTCAGTATTGAATAGTTTTGTTTGTCGTCAAATGTTTTTGGATATTAATTTGTGCTCTGACTACGTAAGTAAAACACGGATTTATAGATTTTATTTACCAGAAATATTTACTTTGAGAGTAAACTAACATTTATTAATTTAATTATAACACTAGCAAATGCATTCATTTAGAAAATACATTTTAGTTGCCATATAAAACAGATCATTAAGAATTTATAACTCTGAATATCTTAGGTACTGTCAAAAATCTGATTATCTGCCATCTATTTACAAAAACAACGTAAATTTTTCGTTTTAAACTTTTAAATCTCAAATTAGGCTCATCTTCCCTAAAATTTTATAGTAACAATACGGTCGATAATTGCTTGTCATTCCCACACCTACGTCACAGCCGCGTGTTGCAGTGACAGACAAATTTGGGCGATGGAACTATCCTATGTATTGAACCGTTCTTGACCATCATTGTCTACTATCGAGCCCTTCATTTATCTGACATGGTTTTACACTAAAACAATTTTTAATTGAAGGTGATTACTTGGCAACATCGTTCGTAACGAAGCCCTTAACGATAACTTTTCAACGAAATCGAATTGAAATTATCAATTTTGCAGAGGCGTACCAAAAAAATTTTTAATTATTTATTTAAACACAAGTAATTACGTAAAAATTACATCTAAGACCGATTTAATTATTGAATTATCATGTCTCTTTTAACAGGAATCTTATAGTTGTCTAACAAAATAAAATAAAATTTTATGCTTATTAGAAAGTATCTAATACAGAACTTCAAAAAACAGAAAACTTTGGAAAATAATTTTTTTTTCATTAGACTAAAAACAATCTGCAGATTTAATTACACATCATTCTTTATTTATAGAATTGCTGTGTGCTGTAACCGTTATATTTGTTTTTTTTTTTAACTTAATTTGAAAGTTTGCTTGTGTTTATTTGTTTATATAAATATGAAAATATATTATGAAGTTCATATAAATTAAAATGAAGTAAGCTAAACTATTATCATATGAATGCGTTTATATAACAATGCATTTGTTTATTTGACCAAATTGTGGAAATATGAAATGAAGATGGCACTAACTACTAAAGAGTTATTAGCTTTGTTAGAAGAAGACTCAGATTGTGAAAATGCCACTTAATGTGGTTTATTTGCTGCCGAGATTAGATTAGAAAGTTTCTGATGTAGAAGACATTGATCTTCTTCTTCTTCTTCCTTCTAGTTTGTAAGCTTTAAAGCCTGTTTCTTCTTTAATATTAGCTTGCTAAATTGTTTAAATTGTCGCACCATCTTTTTCTTGGTCTGCCAATACCTCTTCGTCCATTTGGTTACTTATCTCGTGCTATTCGTACTATTCTATCCTCCGCTATTCTACTGATGTGTTTGTTCCACTTTTGTTTCCGTTTTGTCACCCATCCATTTATGTCTTCTATATTGCATGCTCTTCTTATGTTTTTGCTTCTCTCCCTATCCAACAGACTTCTTGATATTCGTCGGAGTATTTTCATCTCTGTTGTTTCTAGCAGTCGTCTCGTTTTAGATGTGTCAGGTCTTGTCTCAGCCGTGTACGTTAATATAGGTCCAATTCCTGCTTTATAGACTCTTGTTTTTGTGTCTTGTCTTAGGTGCTTGTTTTTCCAGATTGTGTCATTAAGAGAACCCGCCACTTTACTTGCCTTTAAGCTTTGCTTTCGTACTTCTTCTTCAACATCTCCGTAACTAGTTATATCTATTCCCAGATATCTAACCCTTGCTTCCGGCTTTATTATTTTCCCATCAATTTCGATTTTACACCGTAGTGGGTATTTAAATGTCATACATTTGTATTTTTCCGCTGATATTATCATATTGTATTTCTTAGCTGTTGTATTGAAGATATGTGTTAATCTTTGGAGCTCGTCTTCTGTCTCAGCGATTAATGCGGCGTCGTCTGCATAACATAATATTTGGATTTCTTTGTTCCCAATTCTGTAGCCACGACTTTTACGTACTGCTTGTATTATTTCGTTCATTAATATATTAAAGAGAAGTGGGCTTAACAAGTCACCCTATCTGACTCCGCTTTGTACTGGTATACACTGTGTTAGTTTTCCATTTATCTTTGCCTGTATTCGATTATGGAGGTAGATGCTTTCGATGGTTTGTATAATATTGATTGGTATGTTCCTTTTATACAGTAGGTGTAAGACGTCTTCGACTTGGATGCGATTGAAAGCCTTTGTCAGATCTATAAAACAGATATGATGGCTTTTCTGTGATTTGTCTTAGTACAAATACGGCGTCTACGCAGGATCATCCGGATCTGAATCCTTGTTGTTCATCTGATAAAGTTGTTAGTTTATTGATTTTGTTGGTTAAGACTTTTATGGTAAGCTTAAGATCGGTGTTTAGTAGATTTATACCTCTACTTAGGTATTGTTGGGGTCTTCTTTATCTCCTTTTTTGATCATTGGTATCATTATGCTGTTTCTCCATGCGTCTTGTATCTTGCAGTGCAATATTAGTTTTTGTATAAGTTTGGTCATCTCTAGAGTTAAACTTTCTCATCCGTATTTTAGAAGCTCGTTGGTTATTCCATCTGGTCCTGGTGACTTTCTATTTTTGAGTGAATTGATGACTATTTCTACTTCGTGAAAACTGATTTCTATTTCGTCCTTTAGTTCAGGTACGTTATTGTGTTGATTATTATTTTCCTTTGTTTTAAACAGTTCCGTCAGGTATCTTTCCCATTGGTTTGCTGGTATATTATTGTATTCCTTGAAGAGATTGATGTTAATATTATTTGTGAAGAATCAATAAAATCGGATATTGCAGGTACATATGAAATACAAGTGATTGGGAATTCTAACGATTCTGATTATGATATTCCTCTGAACCACAGATAAAACGTCCAAAGAAAAAACCAGGCAAAAATAGTAAATCCAAATGTATCTCAAGTTGTAATAACGGATATTCTTTCGTGATCAGTAGTAATTCAACATCATCTGATCAATATCTGATTGATATTTAGACAATATAAAAGCCAACCATGTGGGCAAGTCATATATTGAAGTTTTTCACTCTTTTTGATAAAAAAGTAATTGAGAATAACCGTCACAATTTTGAAATGAATAACATAGATTTAAAAAAAATATTAGCATATGTATATTATCTGGTTTACACTCTGCTTCAAGTTAATATGCATTGGTCAAAGGATGAGGATAAAGAAGTGCATATTATAAGAGAAAGCATGCGCCGACATAGATTTATAATAATTTTAATTTATAATAGTGAAGAAACCGCTACATCAGTGTCAGTACATGGGCGTCAATCTAAATTTGCTTTACCAGATGAAACTAGATTCGACAATATTGGCCACATTATAAAAAGAGACGATAGTGCAAAAATGTAGGATGTACAAAAGTAATACTACTTATTTATGTAAAAAGTGTAGAATGCATCTACACCCCGAATATTTCGAAAATTTTTACCTTAAAATTTAATTTACGTTTAAGATACAATATGTTCCTTTATTAAAAATTGTACTGTTGTCCTTAAAAATGAGATTTATTCCTAATTTGTGTTTTTAATCCAATCTAATAAATTAATTGTCAAATTTCTCTTTGTATATTGAGCGGCCGTTAAGGGTTTAATACTATATAAAGAATAAACTGGCCTCAAATTTACTTTACTTACCTCAAAACTATTTTAAAGTTAATAATAAAGTATGTATATTTAATAAATATATTCCCAATAATACACTACGCTTATGCGCATATGTATAAAATCTGGAAGATACCATATTTCATAAACTTCAATAAACTAAGATATCATATTTCTCTAATTAACATTCTTTCTAAAAACGTATATATATATATATATATATATATATATATATATATATATATATATATATATATATATATATATATATACCAGCAAAATATTGATAATTTTACCGATGTTCCAAACTATTCTATGAACTTGTCTCACTATACACTCGTGAATCGCAACAATTTATATTGTTACGGGGGCAAATTTATCTTACATGGGTTACAAATTTACATATTTACATGGGCGAAGCATACACAATAAAAATGACCCCGGTAAGAATTAACTAATGAAATTTTTCATGGTTGCCGCTACCGTTTAGTTCAATTTGTAGATTAGTCACCTTTATATTGTTCTGAAGCTATTTTCTTGTGGCATTGTAAATTAATTACTATTTATAACTGGGAATAAGCCACAATTTATTTAATTTTATTATTCAATTTACTGTTTGTATTTTGAGAACGATTTCCGAATTGGAAATTGAAACGTCAATAAACGTATTTTTATCTTTAATTGTGGCTTATTCCCAGTTATAAATAGTAATTAGTCACCTTTAATTGAAAATTGTCCGACTATAGTGGGAATTTGACAAAAATTTTAAAATTGTGTCTAGGAATACTGTGATAATTTATGAAGCATGCTGTCACAAAGCAGGCAGGGTATAGAAATAAAACATATTAAATCTAAATAGCAGTTTTAAATAAGGTTATCATTCGGTTTTTATTTTGAAAAACAAATTTAAAGTTAAATTATCTTAGAAATTTTCTTAAAACTAATTATATACAAAATGTAACAAACAACAAAATACACAACAAGAATTTTGATAATAAAGTATCTACCTTGTTTTGCTAATATTTACAAAAATTTCGATAAGTAGATTTTATAATATCAGCCACCTAGAATTAATAAAAATATTATTTAGGTCATGATTGCGCTATTAATGTTTTTATCTTCAGATCTGACTTTCTTATCATCCAACTTTTCACTTGCATTTTCGACTTTAACATATTCTTCGATAGAGTTTGCCAAATTTTTTTCGAACTCAACCAGCGAAGGTGTAAGCGAAGACTCATTACTATCAATATGTCTTGGTACAGTATTTTCGTTCTTGTCCTTGATTTGTTTGTCGGCCATGCTGAATTTTTCTAAAATCTTTATTAAACTTGAGTGTTCAACTTTACTGTCTTCTTCTTTTGGTAAATTGCTAACAGCTTTCCTCATCACAGGTTCTTGTATGGGAGATGAAGGAGGTGTGATACTATGCGGCTGAATATCTGGAGTATTTTTAGAATTGAGCAATTCATTATTTCTTTTACATGCTTCTTCTGCCGCTTCCCTGTTAATCTTTTTAACAAGGGACTCAGCTCTTCTAGGCTTGGGTTTAGGAGTTAATTTTTCTATTTCTTCTTCTGTCACTATCATGCCTTCTAGGCCTGCTAATACGGCATCATCATTAACAACTGGTTTCCTTGGTCTTGGTAAACTAGCATCTTTTGGATTATAATGTTCTATTAGACCTAAGTCCCAGTCCTCCAAACCACCAAACGAATCATCGCTTTCGATATCAGTCGGTGCTTTTCGCGGACGTAACTTCTTCAACTGTTGCGGAAATATGGATCCAAAACTTCGGCATCTTGTTATGTATGTATCCAACTTTCCTGTAGAGCCTGTTGCAGTCTTTTTGTGGTCTACTGGTAGAGATATTTCTGAAAGATGACCTTTTTTATCCGTCTTTAGAGAGGATGGTCCTAAAACAAAAGAAGAAATTAATAATAGTTTACAGATGATTAGATATATGAAAACGATTCATTAGAAAGAACAGTATTCATTTGTATACCTATAATTAGATGTTAAATTATGAATATCTCTATTTATTTAACAGTAATATTAAGTTCAAATTCAAGACATAAGGATTTCACTCGCTTTAAGGAGAAAATTTACTTATCACTCTAAGATATCTACGGAATTCAAAAGGTTTGATCTCTAGGGGGAATTTTTCTGCTTATCAAGGCCTTGATGACCTAGTATGTAGGAAAGTATTTCAAAAATGTTCATAGAACTTCGAGAGCAGTTTGTATCAACTTAAATTATTTATTTTTTCTTACTGATACCTCAAGACAAGGCATCTCTGTACTTGGTGATCTTCTCATTGTATTTAACATGTATTTTTGACGTATCATCACACTAAGTGTTATTTTTCTAGTTAGTTTATTAATTAGACCAGTAAGGTCCCAGTATAGATTGCAATAATAATTCTCAAGCATACTATCAGAAGATGGTTGGAATGGACAAGTTTTAATTGTTTAACCATGCAAAGAGGGTCATCAGGCACGAGAATGCAGTAATCAGGAGGCTTTTTGCCTCACTTGTAAAGAATCCAGACACAAAGCCGACAGCTTCACCATCATCATCAGGTACTCATCCTGAAAAAAACGAAAGGTCAAGAAAGACCCAATCAGAAGGGAGGAGGAAAGTGTGGGTGAAAGCACTTAGGACCAGGAATCAGACATCTTACAGGTAAGTAAGTTAAAGAGATAAAAAACGTTTATTGCGAAGTTTCTACAAATAAATGTGGGAAGGTCGAGGGCTGCTCACGACGATGCAGAGGCATTTGCACGAAGGGAAGGTTATGACATGATCCTACTTCAGGAGCATAGCGTTAAGTTGGTCTCTCGACAGGGGATCATTAAAGATAGGAAATCTGACGTTACCGTGTACGTGGTGAATCGAGAAGCTGATGGTGAATTACCAGACACTCTGTTAAGAATGGTTATGTTAAGGTATATGTCAAAAACCTGATAGTATATAATTGCTGTTTCACCAAACATCCCGTTTCGAGTATATGAAGAGTACATTGACTCTATTATGCCAGAGGCTAGGATGGACACTGTACCGGTCATCATAGTTGGTGACCTGAATACGAAAGATCGTCCATGGAACCTACGTGTGCAAGATGGGAGAGGGAAATACCTATCATAATGGATTCACGCCATGGGGCTTACCGTGTTAAATGACACGGTACTTTCTAAACATTTCTAAACAGTGTCGTAATCTGGACAGTTTTGGAAGAAAAATGGCTCAGCTTACACAAGTATGTGAGTGTTGAAATAGCTAGCAAAAGACAAAAAGGTAAAAATGGGCATATCAATCTAAAGATCTGTTTAAATGAGGAGGTTTTTGTAGATACTTTTGGCTTGATTGGTTCAAGATGTGAGGATGTGCGTGAGTTAAGTTAGGGTCTGATTGATGCACAGAAATTGGCATGTGTAAGAACAAATGGGAGATATGAAAGAAAAAATCATACTGGTGAAACGAGTAGCTTGAAAATCTGAGAGTGTAAGAGGTTAAGAACAGTACAGGACGAAATTTGGAACAGAGAATAAACAAATTGAAGCAAATGCAGAATGAATACAGGAATGAGATAAGAAGATCTAAGAAAGAAAGGTGAAGTAACGTGCTTCAGGATCTCGAAAGGACCTGGAGGCAGGGCTTTAAGATTGTCTGTATCGGACTGAAGGAGAAAAAGATACCCTACCCCTGCCTGAGAAGAAGAAACTCCGTTTAATACGGGAACTCTTTCCTCAGGTGGAGGATAGGCGTGAAAGGGTTATTGTTTTCGTAGATGCGGAACCTTTCACTGAGTTGGAACTCGGCGAGGCTATTGGACGGATGAAGATCCGAAAAGCACCTGACATAGATGGAGTCATGGAGGAAATAGTAATACTCACCGCACTAAAATATCCGCAGGATTTTTTGAGATTGCTAAAAAACTGCTTGAACAAACGACTTATCCCGAAACGTACAGGTGAAGAGGAAGAGGTGCGATTTTGGCCAATTTGCCTTCTTAGTTCGATAGCTAAATGGTACGAACAGCTTGTAAAAGGCCGCCTTGAGCGATAGCTAGAAGAAAAGCATGCGTCAAGAGATTGCCAATATGGTTTTAGGGCCAAAAAGTGCGGTCACGGAAGTAACCTCGTTAGTAATGCAGGATACAAAGAGACGGGTGGCTATTATCCTGCTTGACGTCAAGAATGCCTTAAATATAGCATCATGGGAAAAATCATGTCCAGGCTGAGAGAATTTCTCGTTAGTGAGTACCTGGTCAACGTAATTGACAGATACTTTACTGACAGGTCCATAAGAGAAAAAGATACCAGCATCAGTTTGTCGCAGCGTGTTCCATAGGATTCAGTACTAGGTCCAATCCTGTGGAATATCCTATACGATGAAAAAAAAGCATGCCTTATCGGAATATTTTTTCTACTGAGTCATGCCGTTTCTTTACTTTAATACTGTATACCGGCACCAGCTAAAAGGTCATTCAATTCGCCTGTCAACACATTGATTGCTACTTGACTATCGGTAAAAATATAGTGTCAGTCTATACGCTACAGTCACGATGGCAAATGTATTTGCTTGCATAATCGTAATTCTCGCAAAAAAAACGCAAAACATAAAAAAAAAGACGCAAACGAAAACTCTCTAAAAGTCTCTTCTATAATTAGTAGGATATTTATTACATGCCTATCTTCACTATGCCTCTATTATCTACGGTGCTGAGGTTCCATAGGTGTGTTGTTTTTTAAAGTCTCTTGAATATTTTCGATTTATTTTCTGTTTGTTATGTGCCAAGTTGCCCCAAGTCCTTGGGGAATACTTTTTTGTGTTTTTATTTGCCTAATACTTTTTGTCAATTGATTTTATCTTTTTATCTTTCAAAATTGTGGTTTAACTTTTAAGACGTTATGCCTCTGTCAATATATGAATAATAATATATTTCCTTATTTCACATAATTACTCTTAATTTCATGTATGTTATTAGTTTGTATATAATGGATAATTTAAACTTGCACATGCAATTAGATTTGTTTGAAAACATTTTCATGTTAAATATCTTTGACATATAATTAAAATGCCATCTCAGTAATCATTACCTTGTCGAATTGTACGTACCGCATAATATTCATAGAAAAAATTAATTATCTTTCAATATTCTACTATATATCATCTCTTTAGTTTTCGCAATTTTTTAACAAAAAACTTACAAATAAACTAAAAACTTGTAAAATGGTATACGTTTTTATTATTATTATTATTTTTTAATTAAAAAAAAATGGATTTATACATTTTCAGAACGATTTTGATCTTATTAGATCATCATTTATTTTTACTAGAAAAAACAGCCAATTTGGAGGTTAAACATATGCCAAATAAAAACAAACAAAGTGGGGTTGCCGGTCATCCTGCAAATTTCGTCGCTAAAAATGATGAAAAGAAAATCAAGGGTATAGAAGAGGCACTGAAAGTATAACAAATTACAAATCAGCAATTCTCCTCAAGCGCATTAACGCAGGCACGACAAAGTTTGAAAATGAATGATATGCACAGTTTTGGTCAAAATGTCAACCAACCTCCCTGGTCAGATGTAAAAGTTGTCGGTAATAACAACGATAGTGAGAAGCTAGCAAGGCAAAGTGTGGATTTATGCCCTTAAGTATAAACAATCTTATAGTACAGAAAAATTAAGAAAATATCTACAAAGTTCTCCGGACATAAGTTCTCGTGCACTTTGTACGAGAACAAGGTAAATGGATCTAATTCCTTCAGAATTACGGCAGATGCAGAATTGAAGGATATTCTTTTCAACCACAGACGTGGTCGAGTGGCAGAGGTGAGTGAATAGTTTTTTCGCAGAAAATATTTCGTCAATAAATCTTCTAGGCAAACCAGATACATTAACCGAAAAAGACAGAAGTGAAAGTGTTGTTCACTCTATATTTATATAACTATATATAGGCTTTCGAAACTGGGCTGGAGATAAATTTCGAGAAAACCAAAATGATGACCAATATGGTTCCAAGCGAAGAGATACAGATCTCTACAAGGTAGAATTAATCGATAACTACACATACTTGGGTCATGAAATTAGAATAACCAGAGACAACCAAACCTGCGAACTAAATAGATGAATCACGTTGGGATGGACGGCATATGAAAGGACAAGAGACATTTTTAAAACAAATATCCCAATTCACCTGGAAAGGAAGGCATTTAACCAATGCATCGTACTAGTCTTGACCTACGTAGCAGAGACCCTAACTTTAACGAAAGCTACTGCCGAAAAACTGAGGATAACACAAAGGCGAATAGAGAGATCAATGCTGGGCCTGACCTTGAAAGATCGCGTGAGAAATGAGGAGATACGCCGACGAATTGGCGTAGACGATATTATACTGCGAATCAATAAACAAAAGTGAAGGTAGACTGGACATGTTGCCAGAATGGAAGACGGAAGATGGACGAAGAGTGGAGACCAAGAGCCGACAAGCGAAGTCGAGGCAGAACACCCACCCGATAGACCGACGACCTAAGGAGAATAGAAACAAACTGGATTGCAGCAGCTAGAGATAGAGAGAACTGGAAATGTTTGGAGGAGGCCTATGTCCAACAATGGATGTGAAAATGGGGCTGGATGATGATGATGAAGGCTTTGGTCTGTCATCAATTAAGCTAATATAGCAAAGGTCTTATTATTTACCATAAGATTGTGCATGTATCCAATATGTCCATCAACGGTTTAACATAATTTTAGGATTAATAAGCATACACGATTTATCAAAAAACTGTTTCATAATAAAATTGGTCATATTTCGTAAACCTTCAGTATAAAGTAGCTTTTCCTTACATCGAGATAATTATCACCCTGCATAATACCTTTATCTTACCTTTACTGTCATCTTTAAATTCGGAAACAGTCAACTTCAATTCATCGTAATTGGGAAGTGAATACACGGATAAAGTCTTTTTCCTTTTCAAGTTCTCTTTTTCGTCTCTTAAATTAATAAACTTGTCCGTTTTGTTATCATTTTTGTCGTTTAGAAGATGATTATGTTCGTGATGGTGGTGATGATGATGGTCCCTATTAAAATTGGCTTCATCAGCATCGCAAAGCGGGCATCTGTAGTCGATCGTCTTTTTGACAAACAGTGGTTCTTCTACTTCTACAGGTGGTTTAGGAGGAGTGGCTTCTACCTGCTAAATAAAGAAAAACGTTTAAAACAACTATCATTATTTTGTTAATTAATAATTTTCATTATTTTTAGTATATTAATCAAATATTATTATCTATATAAATCTAAGACTAAATAAGAGATACAATCTGAAAATAATCCAGGTATACGCCCCCACCAGCGATTACAAAGATGAAATTGTCGAAGCCTTCTATGAGGAAATCGAAAGAGCAAAAAAGCAGAAACCGGCTCATTACAATCTGATAATGGGAGATTTTAACGGGAAACTCGGAAGGAAAAAAGACGAACAAGAAGTGGCAATCGGAGATTTTGGAATCGAAGTAAGAAACGAAAGAGGCGAAATGCTTACCAACTTTCTACTGCAACACAAACTGTATGCAATGAACACATTTTTTAAGAAGAAACAGAATAGAAAATGGACGTGGGCTAGTCCAGACGGAAGAACTAAGAGCCAATATAATTATATAATAATAGACAAAAAGCAAGTTATTCAAGATGTCACTGTACTCAATAAACTATCAGTAGGAAGCGACCACAGACCAGTAAGAGCTAGAGTAACGATTAATCTACAAAAAGAAAGAGCAAAGATGATAAACAGTTGCAAACGCATAGTTTAGAATTCACCAAATCATCCAGAAGCATACATAAGAAATATAGCCGAAACTTTACAGAGTAATAATCCCAAACCTCTAAGTATCGACGATCACAATAAATTAATAACAGACTCAGTTAGAAACGCACAACTCAAATTTTGCAAGAAAAATGACACCAAAAGTGAAAAGATTAGCAAAGATACAAGGGCTCTCATGGAAATACGACGAAACCTAAGCGAGAACGAAAAGGGAAACAAAGAAGAATATAAAAAACTAAATAAAAGAATTTCAGCGGAAATTAGAAAAGATGTAAGAAGATATAATACTAATGTAATTACTCAAACAGTAGAAGAGAACAAAGGTTTAAAGATAATGAAAAGAAAACTTACGCAAAGTAAAAAAGAAATATACAAGCTGGGAGATAAAGCCGGAAAGGTAACAACAGATAAACAAAATATTCTGAAAATAACTAGAGAATTTTATAAAGACCTCTATACCAGCCAAAGACCACAAGACAATTTCCCGACACGAGTAAAGACTCTCATAAATCAGGGATCGGAAATACTTTTACCCATTACTGTGTCAGAAGTAAGAGCAGCTTTAAAGGAAATGAAGAACCATCGATCGCCTGGTGATGATGGACTCGTTATCGAGGCAATAAAAGCAGGTGGAGAAATTTTATTAAAATCAGTAAGCGAACTGTTTACTAAATGCTTACATGCGGGTACGATTCCAAAAGACTGGAACAATGCAGTAATAGTCTTGTTACACAAAAAAGGCGATATTACTAAATTAGAAAATTATAGACCCATCAGCCTCTTGACACATATGTACAAACTCTTTATGAAAATCTTAACAAAGAGGCTAACACCTAAACTTGATTTCTATCAGCCCAAAGAACAGGCAGGCTTCAGGGCAGGATATGGCACAAATGACCATTTGCATACCATAAAGATCTTAATAGAAAAGTGCATCGAGTACAACATACCACTGGTTCTTGCATTTGTCGATTACGAGAAGGCTTTTGATTCTGTAGAGTTTGAAACAATACTGGAAGCCCTAAATCAAAGCCGAATAGATTACAGGTACACGACACTAATCAAAAACATCTATCAGAACGCTACATCAAGTATACGACTGCACGAAGACACAGAAAAATTCAGCTTAGGTCGAGGAGTTAGACAAGGAGACAATATTTCACCAAAATTGTTCACGGCAGCTCTAGAGTCAATATTTAAGGGTACTCAATGGCAAGATATGGGCATCAATATAGATGGAAAAAGATTAAATCACCTAAGGTTTGCAGATGATGTTGTATTAATCGCAGATAACTTACAAGATACAGTTTCTATGATGCATTCGCTTAAAAGTCTGTCTGAAAGAGCAGGATTAAAGATAAACTTTGAGAAAACTAAAATTATAACAAATCTCCTTATGAGTGGAAATATAACTATTGACAATAATACCATACAACGAACAGACACTTACAAATATCTGGGACACGAAATCAAAATAAGCAGAGACAATCAAACACATGAAATACAGAGGCGAATAGGTCTAACATGGGCAGCATTTGGCAAATTAAGCCATATTCAAGCCATAAAAGTTTAATTCCCATGTGTCTCAAGCGAAAGGTTTATAACCAATGTGTTTTATCTGTACAAACTTATGGAGCAGAGACTTTAACACTTACGCAAAAATCTGCGAATAAACTTAGAGTTACCCAACGAGCCATGGAACGTGAGCCTTCGAGACCACATAACAAACCAACAAATCAGGCGAAGATCAGGAGTTCAAGACTTCATCGAAAGAACCACGACGCTTAAGTGGAACTGGGCAGGGCACTTAGTCAGAACACAAGATGGACGGTGGACAAGACGTATTATGGAATGGAGGCCCAGAAATTATAAAAGAAGCCGAGGACGACCACCGACTAGATGGACCGATGACATTAAACGTGTAGCGGGAAACTGGATGCAAGCGGCCCAGTGTAGAGAACACTGGAAAGAACTGAGGGAGGCCTATGTCCAGCAGTGGATGCGATTGTCTGATTGATGATGATGAATCAAATATTATATTATACAAATATATTTAATAAATACATATTATGGATATAAATTTCAATGAGAGTAAAAAAATCTGTAATTTTTTTCTGGACTCCAGTCTCGACGTGCTGATCAAACGCTTTGTCTCTAATACGCCTCAGTATCATGATCTCGCTGCTGGTGTGAGTCACCTCGCCTAGATTAACTTTACTTCGACACTTCGTCTGAAGAACTTCGATCAAGAGTGTAGACGGCGTTTAAAATTTTGTTATTATTTTAATACATTTCCCTTAGAATATTTATTTAGTCATATAAATTAATTCGCATTACATCGACAGCGACTTGTTATACAAAAACAAAACCTCTAATGTTATACAGTGAAATCAAAGAACTGTATAAATTCTACATTGAATATTTTATGAAAATGTTGGATACTAAAAAAATACAAAAGGCTCAAACATGTCTTATATGGTTTAGTTCAAGAAACTTTAAAATATTCATTCGCTGTATTCAATAGCACCAAAATTAAACAGTTTTTCTTGAAAAATCCCGGCATCTCTCAAACAACTCGTTGCAAATGAATCACAACTTATAAAATAAACTAAATTTTTATTATTTGAGTTTTAGGTCGAAAATATTTTCAAAATACAATTTTCAATTAATAAAACTAAATTGTTTTGGAACGTTATAAATAAAAATAATAAAAAACTAAATAAACTAATTATACGTATAATATATCTTATCTGTTTTACTTAATGTCATGATAACATATTGATTGGTCTTTATTATTAAACATAAATGCCATTATATTCAATTATGTCAGCAAAATTCTTGTATGTTAATTTCATTGCAAATAATTTTATTATGTCACGAAATCACGTGTGAATCATAAATTCACACATGTGACAATCTTAAAAGAATTCAAATAAAAGATGTGAAGAGATAAGGAAGGTAATATATTGACATAACAGCAAGAAAAACTATGAAGATAGAATCCAATTATTAATTATTTGTTTGTTGTATGCCACACGCTTAATAAAAAATAAATTCTCCGCTACTGACACGCTTCCTGGTAAAAGTAAGAACGACAGTTAAATGATACGATAAACTTAAAGATAACGCTTATTACTCATTTCATTTTTTATTCGCTTCTTCTTTTTCTTATTGCGCCACCTCCTTTCGGCAAATAGGCAAATTTCGACAAATGGCAATTGTAGCTTTGGATACTGCTGCACGAAAGATTTCTGTGGATGAGCAGTCAAATTATCTCCTTAAGTCTTTCAGCCACGAGTTCTTGCGTCTTTCAACTGATCTTTTGCCCTGAACCTTACCTTCCAATATGATTGAACCTTACCTTTCACCTCTCAACATATATGACCCAAGTATTGTATTTTTATCTCTTTGATTATGCTAATTAATTCTTTTTGTTTACTCAAGCGCCGAAGTAGCTCATCAGTGCTAACTTTTTGTATCCATAGAATTCTTAGCATCCGTCTGTATATATACATTTCAGAGGTATCTATTATTTTTTCTGTTTCAGAATCCATTGTCCAACTTTTACAGCCATACAACAAAGAGAGAAAACGTTACATCTGATCTTTCGAATTATGAGCTCTAGACTAGCTCTGATCTTGTAAAAAATGTTATCATGTTCATGAGTATTTTCCCCTCTTGTTCGATTCTTGATAGGATTTCTTTTTTTTTTTTTGATTATACTGACTTTTATTCACTGTAGTATAGAAATAATGCATTTTTATAGTACTGATATATCTTCCATATGGTATTTTTTGTGCTAACCTGTCAACCTAGGTTTAAGTTTGTGTTTACTAAAATGATTTCAGTTTCTTTATTTTTTTTTTCATCTTTACCTCCTTCTTCTTTAAAAACTGTTGATGAATATTTCCGTTAACACCGTTTGTTTCTTTTTTCATACATATTAGGATCTACAGGGTGTTTTTAGTGTGACATTGGTCGTTAATTTTATTATGGTATAAAATATCAATATTATCAATAAAAGTTATTTAGAAAAAATGTAGGCAATATGAATTTCAGGCAATATGAATATTTAAAACCTATAGCATTAAATTTTAATTTTTAATTTAGTCAACAAACATGAGGCATTTAAAATACGCCAAAAAACGTTGAATGATACTACTTCTATGAACTTTCACATGATAAACGATCTAAAATGTTTAAAACTCCTTCTTTTGGATTGCGCAAATACTTTTTATTTTATAAACTACAGAACTTAAGTTAGAAATCTCACCTCATGTTTCCACCTCTAGATGATCCATAAAAATATCTTATAGCAATGGGCTTAGAGGATTGTCCATTATAAGCCATGCACTGTTATTTTTATATACTTGATTATTAAATTCAAAGTAGTCCTGGTTTATGCAAAGTTCAAGAAGATGTAAAATTTCAGATGTAATGATTGGAATTGTACTATTTTGATCGAAAATGTTTTTTACTAGAATAAAAGTTTCTATAGCAGGAATACTAGGAAAAAGATTTTTTACGCCAAATGAAATTAATCTGGAGTTGTTAGGTAATTGAAACTGTTGTATTTTATTAACTAGTTCTATTGTATTACAGAAATATTCGACAGAAAAGTATCAAAAACAAATTAAGCTAGCGTTAGAAAATTCAAAATCAATAGTAAATCCAACAGAACAGAAATACCTTAATATTGTGAACCCACAGCCTTCTAAATTATACTCTTTTATTAAACTACACAAACCGGATTACCCAATAAGACCTGTAGTTTCTTTTTATACAGCTCCGTCATATAAACTTTCAAAAAAACTGCTAGAAATTATTTTAGAACACACTAAATTTTCACCTAAATTTACCATAAAAAATACAATAGAACTAGTTAATAAAATACAACATTTTCAATTACCTAACAACTCTAGATTAATTTCATTTGACTTAAAAAATCTTTTTCTTAGTATTCCTTCTACAGAAACTTTTATTCTATTGAAAAACTTTTAGACCAAAATAGTACAAATCCAAATCATTACATCTGAAATTTTACATCTTCTTGAAATTTGCATAAACCAGAATACTTTGAATTTAATAATCAAATATATACAAATAACAGTGCAGAACTTATAATGGGCAATCCTTAAGCCCATTACTATCGGATATTTTTATGGATCATCTAGAGATAAAAATTTTAAAACATCCCATATTCAAACAGTTTTTATGGAGATACGTAACAAATAACAACTTATACGAAAATATAGTAAAAACAACAAAAGCCAAAATAAAAACCACTTGCACCGTGGTGTATACAAACTGTCCAAAAACTTACATCGGTCAAACTGATAGAAACTTTAATAAACGAATAGCAGAACATAAAAAGGTTTTTAATAATAAAAAAACAGATTTTAAATAGGCACTTTACCTTCTAGATCATAATCATTCTTTTATTGACGAATTTAAAATGGTTCACATTCAAAATAAAGGCATTAAGCTATCTTTCTTAAAATCTATGAAAATAAACAAATTAAAAAATACAGTTATAATTCTGAATAATCAGCTTGAGATAAACAGTTCTTCCCTCCTCAACCTATTTCATTAAAGAATATAAAGTGTAAACGCATGCCAAAAATAGATCACTTGAGAAAGGCAATCTGCCGCAACAGCTGTAATGATAAGATTATATAATAATTTTTTGTGGAAGTTTTGAAAAAGTTTTCAGTGTTTTATTGTTACATAATAAATTTATTCTTACCGGTTTTTTCGACTGAAAGGCTTGCAGTCCAGTCTTCGCTACTGCTTCGATTTTCTCTCTTAAATTCTTCTTGTGTTTTCTAGGAGGAGGCGTGGGTGTTCCTTTATCATTATTAAAAATAAGATTAAGTTTTGGATTGTGAAGGTGAATAGGATGGTCCTCGTTATCAGGTACTTCCAGATCAACTTCAGTCCAGTCGGAAGATTTCGAAAGTGGTTTAGTGGTTATTACATTGTTTTGTTTTTCATTTGGAATCTTCTCCAATCTGTAAGAAGTAAAAAAATTTTAATTAGTTTATTAGTTTAATCGCAAGATTAAACCCCCATTAAGTCCGCATTATAAAATAGGAGTAATTACAAATTTTAAGTCAACCTAATCTAACCTAACATATATTTAATCGTAGACAGAGAATTAAATCTAATAAACATTTTCATAAAATCAAAAGAATACAAATAAATAAGTTTAATAAACCAAAGGGCCGGTTTCAACAACGACAAATAGCAGTCTATTCAATGAATAAAGTTATTCGACCAATAAAACTGACATATACTTCATCTAATTTATATAACGATGCACGTCATAGGCGTCATAGCTTGTGACGTCACATGATACCAACACGAAATATTTATGCGGTAGGTGTGTTCTTTTTTAGAATCACTTTACCGAGTACACTGGCATTACAGCCACTAGACATATTTTATTATATAAGCGTAGAAATAATATTTAAAAATTTCTATTAGTGTTAACTTAAAGAAATACACAATAATATGTTTCATTTAATTTGTATAAATGCATTATAAAGCGTTTTTATCAAGAACATTTGTTCGGAACACACTGTAACTGTAATCGAACGAAGGAAAAATTTTGGCATAAATTGGTAACACTTACTTGACAGTTGCGGTGTTGACACTTTTTGTACTTTATTATTTTGAATTTTAAAATGAATATCTCTTGTTTTATATTTTTTCCTATTTAATAAAATTTGTTCTTTTAGAACAAAATTAGTGTGTTTTATTTCAAAAATGTCACGTAAGAATTTAAATAGTCATTGTAAAGCGATGGTAATACTTTTGCAATAAATATGTGATCTATTTGATTTAAAATGGAGTCAGGATTTTTTTATACTTTGGCAACTATGTCAACTTTGATCTCTGACGTAAGTCGTTATCTAAATTAGATAAAGTATATATGTCAGTGACATATACGTCTTATTCTATGAATAAACTCCAAATAAGTTATTAGTCCAATATCGGCCAAATAAATATTTATTCTACGAATAAGTTGACAGCTAACCTCACTTTAACTATCAATAATAAAAAAAATTCATTAGTTTAACTTGAAATTATCGACAATGTATTGCAGGTAAACGTAATTATATCAGACAATTTCATTTTGTATACATATATATTTATTTTCGAATATTATCTTCATCATCATCATCCTCTGATGACGGAAATGAGCGGCGAAGGAGAAGACCTTAAAAAGACATTAGAAAGAATTAAATTTGATCGGTAACCAATTGCATCCTATAAGCAACAAAAATAGACCCATCTATGTGCAAAATCAATTGTTAATTGCTCTTAGTTTTTATGCAACAGTATCGTTTCAAATATGTATTGACCATTGGCATTGACAATTATTATTATTTTGACAAATTAATCAACCAATATCAAATATTATAGGTTATGTATATGATTACAGTAAAAAATAGTGCGATGTGCCTGGCCAAACACCACAAGAGGTCGAGGCCAAGAGAGGTGTCAACGAGTACAGTCTGTGGAAAATCATTACACTTTGAACTTATTCGACGAGTAACTAACTGTGGATTACAAATAGTTATTGAAACGGAATAAAATTTATTCTACTAATAAATTTTATTTGACGATTAACTATTCAGTGATTTATTTGTTGTTGGTGAAACCGGCCCTAAGATAGCTCGATAGCTATCAATCGGTAAAGCAGGCAGGATTCCGAAAGGGTTACAGTACAGCGAATCATTTTCTTTCAGTCAGAACTCTATTGAAGAAAGCCAATGAATATCACTTGAACTTATACATTGGCTTCGTTGATTATGAAAAGGCATTCGACTCCATGGAACTTTGGGCAATAGAGAGAACTATGAACAACTGCAGGATAGACTCCCGATACAGAATGCTCATACATAATATTTACAAGAAAGCTACAATAAAAATACAAATAGATGCTAAAAACAAAGCTATACCAATTAACAGGGAGTTCGCCAGGGAGATGTTATCTCACCAAATCTATTCACACTTGGACTGGAAGACGTGTTCAAAGACATTAACTGGACAGATAAAGGAATAAATGTTAATAGAAGAAAACTGAGTCATTTAAGAAACGTTGATGACATTGTAATATTCGCTACAAGTTTCAAAGAACTACAGACCATGATGACGCAACTATTTCAAGCTTCGGACAAAGTAGGCCTTAAGATGAAATTGGAAAAAACAAAAATAATGACAATTACATCGAACATTATAACGTTGAACGACATAAATTAAGAAACAATAAGCCAATTCATCTACCTGGGACAGATAATGAAAATTAACGAAGAAAATCACAATGCCGAAATTACTAGAAGAATAAGATTTGAAAAATCTTAGCAGGATTTGGAAAACAGTTGGATCTTGAAAAACATTATTAAAAAACCAGAATTTACGATCAATGTATGCTCCCCATACTCACGTATGGCTCCCAGTCGTGGACACTCACCAAGTCTAACATGGATAAAATGGTAAAAGCCCAAACAGCGATGAAAATATCAATGCTCGGAGTGAGACTTATAGACAAAAAAACAAACAAATGGATTAGAAGCAAAACGAAAGTAACGGACGCAGGAGAACATGTTGCCAAATTAAAGTGGAGCTTCGCAGGACACAACGCCCGACTGAAGGATAAGAGATGGAACCGAAATACAACAATGGGGACCATGGTTAGGAAAGAAAAGCAGAAGAAGACTACAAATGAGATAGGCGAATAATATTAAGAAGATCGGAGGACACAACTGGAAGCAAGTGTCGCAAAATAGATGACACTGGATTAATTTGGCGAAGGCCTATGTCCACAGTTGGATTACTTATGGCTAAAGAAAAAATTAAAAAATAGAAACATTTGATAAGACGCAACTTCAAGAAAAATGGTATAAGAATGTAACTTTTCCTTTTTAAAGTAAAAAAACTTTTAGATCTAGAACCAAATTCCTTGTATGCCCTTCTAAATCAGATGTTAGAGTTCCACATTTGGTTTCTGATATTGAGTCAATAATCAAACCACTTTGATGGTCAAAAGGATTTTGTTAGATCTAAATGTACAAATGTTACTATCAACTTTCTAAGCTACCTAAGGAAAGCCTACCTTTCCTCAAGTAGCTGTACCTTCCTCCGTGGTTATTGTTAGTTGTTGCTCTGGAAACCATCAGGGTCTTCTAACTCTAATATCACAAATATCACAAATATTTATTATCCTTTTCTAACTTGGCTGCACCGTACTGGAGACGACCAATAATCATAAATACGTATTTACATTTGTCTTCCCTCGATATACCTATTTTGTTTTCTTTTTTATTTGCGAGACATGCCATTAGTCTTAATACAGTATAAACCTTGATTTTCCAATGCAACTTTTGTTTTTGCCGATGGTTTTTACTCTTAAAATAATTGAGAATAGAAGAAATCTTTGTAAAAGTGGCGTACATAGTGAAAGGGAAAAAGCTAGTTTAAGAAATCTCAATAAAGAAATAAAACGAAGATGTAAGGCCGACAAAAAACAGTACTATCAAAGTATATGCAAAGAAATTGAGAGACATGGTCAGAATAATCAGCCGAGAGATCTATTTAGAAAAATACGCTACCTGACAAGAGACTTCAGAGCCAGAACTTGGGCCATTGAAGATAACACTGGAACCCTGAGAATAAACAGAGAAGACATAGCAGAGACATGGAGATCGTATTGCAGGGACCTATATAAAGATGATCAACGCCAAGAGCTCGTTAGCCAAATCTCTGACGAGGTGGAAGAAGAACCTGATATACTCGAAAATGAAGTAAGACAGGCCATCAACAAGCTCAAATATAACAAAGCACCAGGTCCAGATAAATGCTTAAAGCCACAGAAGAAACCGGCGCAAAGTTACTTCATCTACTCTGTAACCAAATATGGCATTCCAAACAATGGCCTGAAGACTGGACAAAATCTACGATAACGACCATACATAAATAAGGCAGCTTCCATAAATGCGATAACTATAGAACTATCTCTCTTATATCGCATGCCAGCAAGATAATGCTACATATAATCAATGAGAGACTGAAAACATTCCTTCAAAGAGAAATTCCACAAGAGCAAACTGGATTTACCAAAGGTAGAGGCACTCGAGAACACCTGCTGAATATAAGACAGATAATCGAGAAATCTAGGGAATTCAACATCCCACTATACATCTGTTTTATAGATTACCGTAAAGCGTTCGACAGGGTCAAGTGGAGACACTTATGGCGAACACTAAAAGAAGTAGGCATACCACAACATCTAATTACGCTTATAACTGAACTATATGAACACACTACTTGAAGTTAAAGTACTTGACACACTTTCGAGCGAGTTTCATCCAGAACGGGGTGTCAGACAAGGATGTATACTATCTCCACAATTATTCAACATATATGGAGAGTATATTATGCGAAGAGCACTTGAAGGATGGGAAAAGGGCATCTCAATAAATGGTCATAAACTAAACAATCTACGTTTCGCAGATGACACAGCCCTTCTTGCAAATAGTCAAGCAGAGCTGATGGAACTTATACGACTGATCGAAAACGAAAGTCAAATATTTGGTCTGCAATTAAACATATCAAAGACAAAGATCATGATAGTGGATAGACTACACAACAATCATCCACATATAACCACAATTGACCGGTTCGAGGTTGTGAGCTCATACTTATATCTGGGATCATTAATCACAAACACAGGGTCATTACAAAAAGAGATTAAACGTAGATGTGATCTAGCAAAAGTTGCCACAGCAAAAATGACCAAAATATGGAAGGAATGTCAAATTTCAACAGCGATAAAGATGAGGTTGATCAACTGCTTAATATTCCCAATACTGACCTACGAATGTGAATCTTGGACTCTGAGACAATCGGAGAGAAGAAAGATAGACGCCACTGAAATGTTCTGTTGAAGACGAATGTTACACATTCCTTGGACCGACCGTAGAACAAATAATTCAATTTTAAGAGA